TATCGTGTTTGTGCTAAAACCAAAATGTGTTTGTTTATCGTGATAAGATCGCTACTGTAAAATCCTACCACTTAAATCCCTATTTTCATCCACCGGGATTAAAATGTGAAACATTAAATAAATTCTTGCTTATCTGGTATAGCAACACTTTCAAGATTCAAATGTCTCAACAACTTTTGGTTGGATTTTCATCATTAGGTCAAGTTTAAATGATTCCAATACTTTGATATTTGACCTAAAACCTTCAAAAATCATTCCCATCAACCTTAGCTGTGCTTATAAGCAGTGATTAGCAATGCTCACACATTTAAATAGGATCAGGGACACTGTAAAAATAACCCAAATTAGCTAAGATCAGAATTGTAACATTGTCACTGTGAATTTGAGCATTTTGACAAACCATTTAGCTCAAAGCTGCTGTACTGAAGATCTTCCTGTTGTTCTGACACTCACAACTCCTGGTTGGAGCAAAGGTGGTGCAGCATCTCAACAAATACATTTAAACCCATGCATACATATAGATATCTGCTGCTGGAGTTGGCAAATATTGGGCAAATATGTTAACTTGTGTCCTGATGGTAGGCTGAATATGCTGAGTGTAGAGAGAGATAGACACTCTGGAGACAGCCGGCTGAAACACAACAGCGGCGAGGTATTTCTCAGGGGGTTGTGAGGGTCCTGGGAGTTGGCTGGACAAACAGTCAGAAGTTGAAGCAGACAGTAAGTCTTTCTGTACGCTTCATTCTTCTGCCACAGTGTGTTTCTGCTATTATGTCATTTACATAGATACTCCAAATCCACCAAGGATGGCACTTTCTCTCATCAAGCAAATAAAAAGGATTCCCACTGGCCTGCTCACAGCTCTACGTACAGTACTGTAGTACAGTACTCTGTGCATTCTATCCACAATGTACTCATTCATATGGACTGCAGCATGTTCATATTTGAAAAGCTTGATATGTTATAGCCAGGGTTGGGAGAGTTACTTTGGTTACTTTACTGATTTGGCTTTTCTTACTCATATATTCTTTAAATATAAAGTGTTCTGTTTTCTGAGGAACATTCATGACCATGTATTTGGCAGATTAGTGAAGCTGGATACTAACAATGTACATAGGAAGTCAATTATCCTGCAGGGAGTCGGCTTGCTCTGTTCTTAAGAGACGACATATTTTCTTAAATGTTATTACATGGGAGTATACATAGTGTCAGGGCTGTCTTCATGTGGTCTATAGCTTTGATGTTTAATGAACTGCCAGAGGGGCAAAAACAAGTTTCCATGTCTGTGAACAATAAAGTCGTATTATTCTATTCTAAGGGAAAACACTTTCAGTAAACTGCATGACTGTGCAAATACTTAAGTATTATAGAGAAAGGTTTCAAATGGATCTGTCTCTTATTACTCTTTTCATAACTGCCGCTGTCTGTTAGAAAGGCTGTATTCTGCTTCTTGTGGTTTTCCCTTTCCTGTAGTGTTATATATGTTTTCGAGTATGTTAATGGTCTGCAAAGTCTAAAATCCCTGTGTTCCCTCCAGAGGGAGTTTCTCTTTACTTCACTTTAAAATGTTACGGGGTAAATCTGCATTTCGGTATGAGGACGCACGCCGAAAGTAATAGGGTCCAGCGCCACTGTTACCAGCTTTAGAAAAAACCCTATAACACTTGCGCTTGTGGTGAAAGAAATGAGTCGGCCAGCTAACCAATCAGAGCAGACGGGCTCTGGTTTCAGACAGAGGGTGAAAAGAGGTGCTGCAGCACAGGCAGTATGAGAAACATATTAAACATTGAACATTAAAGCATGGACAGTAGACAGTAGAGGCACAAAATGCAAATATGAACCTGAAACTGTGCAGAATATGTACTCTTTAAATATATGTATGGTCATTTCAATCAGAGACAGTACATCTAAAGGTTTGACAAGAATTGCCATATTAAAAAAAAAAGTAAAGGACATGAATCAAAAACGTATTTCTCTTGTGTGTGTGTGTTTGTGTGTTGGCCTGTCAGCTGCTGCATGTCTGGCTGCTTGCTGTGGTTGTATTCTCTCTCTAAACACACCGCAGTGTCTTGCTAATCCTGGGCTTCTGCCTTACGTTACAGCCATCATTTTCAGACCTCCGGGCCTCCTGATTCATCGTGCTGTGGGACGCTGACAAACACTTCTCCACCGCACACATGGTTCTCAGTATTCCGCTGTTCATGTGTGTGTGTTCCACTGCATCTGTCAGACATGGCAACACATGTGGCTGTCAGTGCTGCGCGTGTCCCCCCCAGTGCTGTGTAAGCGTATGTCAAACACTTCCACACACATGGTTCTCAGCAGTGTGTTAGTGGGATTGTGCTGCTGCTACTGTGCATGGCGGCTGTCATTGGGTGTTAGGGTTCATCTGACCTGGCTTTGAAATGTTTGACGCCAGGAGAGATATCATTCAGACTTTAAAGGCACACTCTGGACTCTGCAGGATCTGTTTACTAGTCACAGGGAGTAGAAATCATGAACACATTAGTTGTTGAAAGTACCTAAGTACATTTACTAAAGTACCGTACGAAAAGGGGCCCTATTCTGCTGATTTTCAGGTTCTTATTATACATTTTTTGTCTCTCTTCTGTGACATGTCTCCATGCTTTAATGTTTAAAAAACTATTTATTGTTCTCATACTGCCTGTGCTGCAGCACCTCTTTTCACCCTCTGTCTGAAACCAGAGCCCAGTATGCTCTGATTGATTAGCTGGCCAGCTCTGTTGTGATTGGTCAATCGCTTAGAGATGTCCCACCCCTTAGCCTATCAGGTACAATGTGTTAGAGCTAGCCAATAAGTGTGAATGTTACATAGTGATATCATTATGTTAGGGAAGTAAACAAAGGAGTCCAATGGAGGTGTTTCCGGCAGGGGGGGGAGAGTGTGTAGAAACTCCCTCTGGAGGGAACACAGGGATTTAACCTTTGCAGACCATTTACATGCACAAAAACCTACAGTATATAACACACTACAGGAAAGGGAAAACCCCAAAAAGCACAATAAGACCCCTTTAGATTAATTCTGATCCTGAGCCACAGCTCAGACATACACAACAGAAAAATAGAAAACACAACAACATTTACATCCATGTTGTTGTGTCCATCAGAGGCCTGTACTACGAAGCCGGATTTTCCTAACCTGGATATGTTTGAGTTAGCCGGTTGGCCCAATCCAAAACATACGCGCTCTCGCTAAACTGTACTACGACGCTGGTTATCAAGTGGATCGCTCAAGCCAGCCGTGTCCTATCTAGTTAGGTGCGCGTTCACATGAAAGGGTTGGTATTTGGAGCATTCGACCAATCTCAAACATGGACAAGCGTACTGACAGCGCAGCGTCATACTTCCTGAATGAAAAGTGAACTTTAATATTAGTCAAATATGAAGAAGTTAAACTTTAAACATCCATGACTTAAACACTTTATCCAGGATAAAAGCCACATAGTTGCAGCTGCAAGGTGAATACAGCTGGTAAAAGAAAAAGCGTTTGAATGCGTACATTAACAGGTTTATGATATCACTGCCCCGTCTAAGACACGAGTGGATCTGACTTTAATTACATTTGACTCGAGTGTTTCGTCAACTTAATGTGTTGCTTAAAATAATACTTCTGCATACAGTATGTGACACTGTGAGTGTTGCACGGCCAGATACGGCTCAAGAAGCTGACTCAAATAAGGAAATATATGATACATTATGATGTGATATGATATGAATGATAATGGGACACATCGACGTCTGCACTCACAGTGCCGCGGACTGTACTTAATGTTACTCTGATCCGGTTACTTATGGTGTGGCAGATATTTAAGTAAGCTTTCTTAACGCTAATGTTATAATAGTCAGATTGCTCTGAAGATGGGAGGGGATATTCTATTAATTTTCACGTTCACACAGTCAGTTGATTTTTGCCGGCCGTCTTTCCTGCAACGGCAGTTTTTCTGTATTTCCTCTATCCTGTAATATGACTTGATAGCTTTAAACTCCGCACACGGAGCTCTGATTGGTCAGCAGGCGGTGCTTTCACTGAGTTGATCTCTTAGCCTGCAACCTAACCTCCTCCCGAGGAGGTTAGCCGCTCAGCATAAGTTACCATGGAGATCTAGCCCGCTAAAAAGAGAACCAGCGTCGTAGGACCGGAAAGCCCGAGTTTTCCCTGAAGTCAGCTCGCTAAGCGAAAATCCGGCTTCGTAGTACAGGCCTCAGAACCGCTAAAGTTTTTAGCCGTCAACACTCTCCACCCAAACTTTTACTTATTCGTTGACGGGGCGCTGTTTTACCTAAACAGAAATATCCCGATCTGATACTGACTCAATCCAACATATAAGGTGGTGTAGAAATACAAGCAATGTGTTTGTTTTGTATTTATTACCAACAGGGGCGGACTGGGACTAAAAATCAGCCCGGGAAACTCGACCGGCCGACCGGCCCAACTCGGTACCGCTAGTCAATTGTCAACGGGGGGGGGTGTGCTAGTGAATTGTCCGACCGGCCCACTTCGGTGGGGATGACCTCTCGTGAATTATGAATTTCCATGTCTTCTTCTTTCCAATATTTGGATTGTATGATATGTCTTAAATGCTATCAAATTAACATACATTGAAAATATAGTGAGCCTATAGCCTGCCTTACTCTTAAAATCTTATGTTGTCTTTTCAAAAATGTATTCTTAATCCCAAAAACTCTGTTCTCTATACTTATATATTTATATATATCTATACTTTCTGTGCAGCTGTCAACAAACCACTTAAAAGGAAGATATTATTTTAATTTGTATTGGCAGAGTACAGTTCTCTGACACACTGTGAGGTCCCCATCTTTCCCTGTTTTCCGATCCCAAAAAGTTTTCCAATTTCAGTGTGGATCACCACAGATAACGTAATGTCTCCCTGGAGAGATATCGAGTCATTTTGTCTGTTCTCTCGCTAACATTCACACACTTATCCTTAATCAGCCGCTCTCTCTCTCCTTTCTTATAGATGTAATCTCTCCCACACACTTCAACCCTTACTTCAGGCGGCTGACGTTTGATGTGTCCTCCATGGAAAAGAACGCCTCCAACCTGGTGAAGGCTGAGCTCAGGATCTTCCGTCTTCAAAACCACAGGGCCCGGGTGTCTGAGCAGCGCATTGAACTGTACCAGGTACACACACTTCCCCCGGGCGGGAACCCTTTATACAAATAAGAATGAACAGTTATTACAATTTACAAAGTACAAAGTACATATTCGGGTAGAAAAGTAGCAGCGGCAGCAGTATTTGTAAAATAAATTAAGGGTAACATGTAGAATGTAGTGTGGTAGAAGGTAGAACACAGAAGTACAATTATATATCGCGCAGAGATACGTACAGATTCTTGTTACAGTGTTAAGTAGTCAAACTAAGAAGACAGCAAGCAATAATAATAATTTTAACTAGTTACATATTGCACATAGATTTTATTGCACATCAGTGATGTCAGAGTCTTTGTTTTGTTTGTTTGTGGTATATTGTTGTTTTTTTTCATCATTCAAGAGTTCAATTTATTTGGGCGAGGACATTTTTTTATTTTTTTATTTATTTATTTATTTGACAGGGACAGTGCACATTGATTGACATTTCTGTAAATGCGCCAGAGTTAGCCAACAGGCTATTTTTCATCTGTAGTCCCTGGACAGATGTTGAAAGTCATCCTAAAAAATGTTTCACTTCAAATGACAGGTAAATACAATCAGTAAAACAACATTCAACATAGATGCTTATATTATGATAAAGGCATATATAAAAACATAAAAACATAAAAACAAAACTAAAATACATATTCACAAAGCAGACAGATAGCAACAGGTCAAGGCACATGTACAAACAGAGCGTTGTAAAGTGCAGATTGTGTCAGTGTTGACAGAGCTGATTTTCCACTAACCATGTATTTAAGTTAGATTTAAATAAACTGCAGGTGTTTTGTTCTCTAATCGTTACTGGGATTGAGTTCCACTGTTGTGCAGCTTTAAAAGAAAAAGAAGATTGGCTGAATGAACTCTTCCTTAATGGAACAACGCAGTCTCCTCTTGTTGCAGCTCTTGTTGACCTAGTTACAGGTGTGCGTATGGTGATAAAATGTCTGAGCGGAGGTGAGGTAAGGCCGTGTATTATTTTGTACATGAGGCAAGCATTTGCATATCTCATTACATTTTCCCAACTCAACAAGTTATATTTTGTGAGTATTGGGCAATGATGAGAATAAACTGATTTCTTATCTACTATTTTAAGTGTTTGTTTGTATAATGATTCCAGGGTTTAAGAGTGGTTGTACAGGCATGTGACCAGGTTGTTAAGCAGTATGTGATGTGAGATAGAACGATAGAGTGCATGTACATCAGAGCCGCCTTTGTTGACATGCAGTCCCTGGTAAACCTCAAATTTGACAGACTGAATTTGACCCTGTTGCAAACCTTTTTCACCTGAGCCTTAAAATTGAGTCTTGAATCAATTAAGACCCCCAGGTATTTGTACTGTGAGACCACCTGTAGCCTCTCCCCGGACACAAACACATCTGGCTCAACGCAGAAGGACTTGGTTTTGGTGAAGAACATACATACAGTTTACTGACATTTAGTTGCAGACAGCATTGCTCCAACCAAGCTGTTACATGAACCATCTTGTTCGTCAGTTCATTAGCCACTTGTGTCAGACTGCCTCCGTGAACATAAATTACAGTATCATCAGCATACATTTAAAGGTTTAACATTTATTTTTACTTTAACATCATGATTAGATTGAAAGACAACACTTGAACATTGTTATTTTAATGTGTGTACGATGTGTGTGAAAGCTTCTCCAGATCTCATCCAGCCTAGGAAAATGTGAAAAAGTGGTTTCCTCAAAAATCTTTACTACAAGCAGTGAGGCTGTAAGCAACACAAGACATTTGTTTATAACAGTGTGGATTATGGGCACTGTACAGACACAATTAAAATGAATCTGAATCCTAGCTAACAACACCAGAAACACTGACCAATCAGAGCAGACTGGGCTTTTTCAGAGTGGGGCCTTAAAGAGACAGGCACTTAAATTGTCTTTTTTTCAACAGCCGGTTAATACATGTGCTGCTGTGATAGATGAGAGCAACGCATCTGGGTACTTTCCCTCTACGTACGGCCACGCCCCTTTTCGGGGGAAAACACTTGCTGTCACTTTCGCCCAGAAGGGACGGTTGTGTTGCGCTCATCTATCTACAATAAGGTCCCAGTCCATTTCTTCACAGATAAACACAACTCAGATACAATTAAACTCTCCTGGTTAAATAATCAGTAAAACAGATAAGCAGCAGTGCTAGAAAATATCTGGATGCAGCTTTCGAATGAGGGACCCTTGCAAAAGTTATATAAATTGTAACTAATGGAATTGTTCATGTTTTACAGATCAGCTATTAACTATTGAGAAAACAACACTTGGGTTGCCCGCATTGATGTTTAAAGACAACTGGATACATTGTTGGAGGCGGGGGCCTGTTTACTGTTTTGAAACTTGATGGAGGCTGCATGAAGCCAAAATTGCTTTTTCTTTAAGCCCCGCCTCCAATCTGCAGCTTCATGGCCGCTCTCGGCTCAGTCAGATGAATGACTAGGGCAGATAATGTTGGATTCGGATTAAGCGCATTTTACAACTTTTAGAAAATAATAAGGTATAGTGAAGTGTACACCCTGGCAAGTTGATTTATGTAAAAAATAAATAATAGCAGTCTTTTAACCATGGTAAGTCGATGGGGGAAAAGTATTTTTGGGACCAATGATGTCATAGATTGACACAGAGGTTGAGCTTGGTCACCACGAAAAATGTGCTTCAATTTCTACCTCACTTGTGTTGTGTGGCTCAGGTTCATCCTCTTACTACAGTTCATTAGGAATCAGAAAAGACCACCTTTTGGGAAAGAGCTGGAGAGCTCTAAAATCCATTGTGAAATGAAATAGCAGAAACTCAAACTTCATTAACAAGAAAAGCATAGGCCATAGTGTCTGACAGCGGCAGATCTCAGACAGGGCTGCATTATAGCAGTACTATTAACACCTGAGGTGGACACATAAACACATAAGACTGGCACTGTTCACAGGGATGATTGTTTCTAACACACTGATGATTTGACATTAGTGATGGACCCTGCAGTCACCCCTGGCTGCCTGTCTGTCAGCCTGTCTGCACCCCCCCAGGTCACATTTTCACTTACAGACGAGGAGCTGACAGCTGGGCTGCACTCTGCTCCAAACACAGATCTTCTCACGCAAACACAGCGCCTAGAAGTGTGAGGGAGGAAGGGACGGGCCGGTACAAAGAGGGAGACCCGATAACATGCACCTCGTTCACATCCATCACACTCACACACACTTATTTATGTCTATACATAGTAAGACTGCTGACTCCTAAGACTCAATAATGCACAGTTTTAACAAATTATTACAAGACATGTCATGTCATAAATTCATGCAAAATGAATACATTTTCTTAAACAGTAATGCCAGGTGACACTATCATCAGTTGGTTATATTTGTAAAACACAAGTGAGTAGAACTTTAAAATTCCTTGGATTGTCTAACTTCAGGCCGGTTCCACTTTATTCCAGTATTGAGTTTTGTTACTGCACACAAGTGTGGAATTAGACGCAGAGGCTGCCATACAAGGTGCACCTGCTCAGGGAGACTTACATTCACACACGTCATTGGCCATGCTATTGGGAGCCATTTGGGGTTAAGTGTCTTGCCCAAGGACCCATGGATGTCATGGTTTTGGATTTATGTTGTTTTCATTTTCCACCTTTTTATTTTTGAAATGTTTTCCTCCTTGTGTCTTGTCTGGTCCTGCTTCCTGTGTTTGCCTTCCTGTCTTTAGCTTCCCTGGTGTGTCTGATTGTCTGATTGTGTTCACTTGTTGCCCTGTGTTTCTGCCTCCCCTGCCCAGCTGTGTCTTGTCCTGTGATTACCCTTCTGTGTATTTAGTCTTGTCTTCCCCTGTGCTCCATGTCTGATCGTCGTCCACGCTCGTCTATGCTTGTCCATGTCTCCTGCCTGTTCCCGTCTGTAAGTTTGTTCCTGTCTGTCGTGCTCCCCAGTTTTGTTTATGTTAATTAGTTTCTTGTTTTTCCTGTCTTGGGTCCTATTTTCCCCATTCTGACAATGGACATGTTGACCATGTCCGATTGGTGGACAAGCACTTTAACTCAGAGCCACAGTAGCCCACTGACTATTGAAAGATCCCTTCCATATATGCTTTTAAAATAATCTATGGATGAAAAAAACCAAGGGGGAATTATTAACTCAAAATTACTTGATTTGATAATTGATTTACCCAACTCAGATGACAGAAGCCCTATAATAACTTTTCACATAGTTCAAGGACTGTGAATCTTTCATTCATTACATATATTGAAAGCACATTTGGAAGGAATCTTTAAGAGAGAGCCAACCAACAACACACTCAAAGACACGTTAGTCTTGTTTTAAGACTTTCAACAGCTAATTCAGACCAACTTTTGTAAATTGATCTTTAGGGTACTTTGATAAACTTAAACACAAGACTACGTACTTGGTTAGGTTTGGTAAAACATCATAGTTTGGGAAAACAGAAGTCGTTTATTTTCTAAGTATATTTCTTATGTAACTCGAGTTATGTATGTAAGTTACGCACATGATTTAAGTTGACTTACATATGTTACTCCATAGCTGCCCCTCCCTCTAGAACTCTCTTGACAAACACCCATTACTGCATCATTCTGTCCATGTTCGAATAACACATAAAAACTCTACTTTTAGAACTGCTTTTGTTGTGTATTGTATACTTTGACGTGGACCTCCCACGGCCGTCTATCGCTTTTTTTTACTGAATCCCTGCCACAATGTTTTAACAAATATGTATTGAAAAAGTAACACAAGTAAAAATGAGGATCTAAAGCTGCAATTACATGATACGTGATAAAACAGCTCTTCGTTTGGCGTTGCCTTTGTGTTTCTATGGAGAGAGCAGTGCTGCTGACTACGTGGAAGCGCTACCTTCGGAGTCCAGCACCACTTGAAAGTAAAAATTATGATTAATATTTACTTTGTTTACTGCTGCCCTTTCAACATGCAATCAATCAGATGACAGCTGTATGAAGCAGTGCAAGCTAGCAAGGGAG